AGGTGAAATAAGGGCTGCTTTTGGAGAATGACCTAGGATGTCAGAGAAGGGAGCAGCAGTTCCAGCACTGACCATCTCGTAGCAGCAAGGTAAGACAGACTACGTCATTGTCATTGATTTAAAAGGTAAAAACTAGACAAGTTTTCACACTGGGGTGGGGAAAAAAGAGAAGAAAAAAGTAATGAGCACCTGCAGACATAACTGTGATCCCCCTGCGATCTCCCTGTGCCCTGCAATGTTGTCCATGTCTTGGTTGCACAGATACACAAGCATTAGATTGTTCAATAATGAATAACCCACACCTTATAATAAAAACCAATCATACCTTTAAAAAGGCATGTTGATGTGTGGTCTTCTGTAAAGTTCCCCAGGCCAGCACATGCTGTAACCTGTGTAATTCATAGTGTTCTGCAAAAACTGAAGGAAGTTCAAGAAGTTTCTTGCCCTGAGGACGTTTGTTTGCTATAAGCAAAGTTCTGCTTTACAGTCTGGAGCCTGTGAAACTTCCTTTCCTTTCCCTCTCCCCTGATAGACAAACTCTGAGTTTTAAACAGTGAAACAGTTGCCTTGAGTTGCCTTGAGTTGCCTTGAGTTGCCCTCAATATCTGGAAGCGCTAGGTAGTCATTAGGTCTTCCACCAAAGCTGATGCCTGCTTTGAGTATTTACTGTATTGAGCTTCCTTATCAAAATAGCTGGAAATCAGAGGGGAGGGAGATGGGGAAGGTGGGATAAAGTCTGTGGCTGTACCATGCCCTATCAGCTGACGGATTCTCTTACAGAAAACTGGAAATAGCTTTCTTATTAATACTTTGGGAAGTATTCATCTGCTTCATTCCCAATGCAGCCCTCTTGCATTTTGTGACTTAGATGCTGGAAATCAARAATTAATATTGGAATCTAAACCTCTGTGATGGAAGCTACACTGAAACCCTTGGTTGGATAGTGCCTCGTGCACGAGTCGCTGATGTGAGAGCGAAGAAGACGGGCTGGAAGGAGCCGCGGGTCTCCCTGGAGCCTCTCCTGCGCTAACTGTGAATCGCAAGGTGTGTTTAGGGATCCTGCTCAAACAGGGGTCGTGCTGCTGGATGGCACAGCAAGTTCTGAATGCTCATCTGTGTGGAAGCACTGAGTAAAGAACTGCCTTTTAATAAAAGTCACCCTGCATTTATTTATTTATTTATTACCMAGCGATTGGGAAAATTCATGTCTTCATAGTTTGTTTYATCATACTGACCATTCGCCAGTGAAGAAGGGCTCCATTTTGTCAGCTTATAGACAACAAATGCAGTCCTAAAAACGTAGTGGCTGTGGGTTTGGTAGCAGAAGGGTTAGTGCGAGCCCTCCCCTGCACCCAGGCAGTGACTCCCACCCCAGGTCCCACCAAATGSTGCAACTTTTATTAACAAAGATACTCAGAATAGGGGGAGGTCTTACATGATAAACACAAGCGTTGCTGAAAGCAGTTCCTTCTGATTACCTATCACATCTGTTAGGGGTAATCAATAAGAAAAAGAACTGCCAGAGCTTAAATGCATTATAAGTAAAGCTGTCTCGGAGGACTAAAATATTTCATGGGAATAAAGTCATTAACGTTCCCTATCGTCCATCACCTCACTCAATCGTGGGTTAGCAAAGAGTTGGTGCATCATGTGGGCACTTCGTACACGGAGGAAAACAGGAATTTTAAAACATCTCTGACTTAACTGGCAAACAACARGGAGGATGTTGGAGTTCACACGACGGTGAGGTGCAGTTCAGAGCAAGGCGGATGAATGATGTTTCTGGACTTATTTACAGCTCTTGTGCAGCTCTGTTTCGCTGTTTTATTTGGCCAAATGAATTGTAGTTTCAATTTCCTTCGTAATTCATCATTAATTAGAAAGTGACCAGTATATTAAATTATTGTGCACTTAATATTTAAAAGCTGGAACTGGAGGGAGCCACAGAGCAGTGACAGAGAGGTTAAAAACAGTATTAATTCAGCACAGCTGGAGGACTTTCCTGAGCAGATATTTTGACCCTCTAAGGGTAATTATATCATGATCCAAATTAATCACAGTAAGGCTGAACTGTGACTGACTTAAAAATTAATTTTTGTTAGAGCGTCAGCTTCAAGAGGACTTTGATGTTAGCATCCTTCTTAGGGCCTGTCTGGATCTGACCTGACTGCCTTTGTAGGAAGGCAGTTTCAGATGAGAGGCCGCCAACTGTTGGCCTAGTTGACCTGGCTGTGGCTTTGCCTAAGAATATAGGTGATCTCCCTGTGTGATGAATAGAAGCCYTTCTCCCTTCAGCAGGAGCTTACTACAGCTTATTATTATTTTATTTCCTTGCTATGTCAACCATGATAGCGTATTTACTAATCCAGTAACTCATTTTTTTAGTATTTTATATATATTCCATCTGTTGCCAAGGTGTCCTTATAATGTTGTGTTAGAACAAAGGCTAGGTTAAATTTATTTGCCCAAATAATTTATTTAAGCTCTTCTGTTATGGGTTCATGTATTTGATATTGTGGAGGTCTTTCTCAGGTGATTAGACAGGGACGGTGGGAATAAGTTGAGATATAGGAAGCTCCATCTGCATGTGAGGAAGGACTTCACTGTGAGGATGACAGAGCCTTGGCCCAGGCTGCCCAGGGAGGCTGTGGAGGCTCCTTCTCTGGAGATCTYCCAAACCCGCCTGGATGCGACCAGGTGCCCCGAGCTCTGGGTGTCCCTGCTGGAGCAGGGCTTGGACTAGATGATCTCTATGGGTCCCTTCCAACCTCAACCATCCTGTGATTCTGTGAAAATCCCTATGTACAGTCTGTTAAAACTAAACAGTGCTGGCTTGATGCATATATGATATGAAGTCCTGTCTCGTCTCTGAAGATACACTATAATTTACTCAAACTCAATTTACTCAATTTTTTTGTTAAAAGTTGGGGGTTGATTTGAAAAATTCTTTTTTYCCCCCCTTTTTATTTTTTCATGAAACTAAAGTTTTGGCTTGAGGTGTCTGAAGTATTTAAAGTCACAACTTTGTGAGTTAATGAGAGGTGAGTGCATCCCAAGTGTGTAGTGGGCAATGGGTTTAGAAGGTGCCTTTGCAGAATCACATCATATTAGCACCTGAATAATACCTACTATTTATTTGTTGCCACAGCAGAAATTTGTTGCATCAGTGACACCGTCATATCATGTTCTGTCTTTATAGGCTCTGTCAGGGCAGTAGCTTTACTTTTTCTCTATTTGAATAATAGTCTTTGTCACGTGGAAGAAGATACTTTGTGACAATTATCAGTTTTGTTTAGCAAAAGAAAGAAAGCATTTCTAAGAAACAGCAATTTTGAGACTTCATTTCACGGTAAAGTGACAGGGATAAGAAAACKGTTCAGAATCACAACATCTTTTAATTTCTACTTGGCCAAATGGTGATAATGCAATTGACATGCAACAAATCGTGAAGTCTAGTTTTGAATTAATAGCATCAGATTTTCTCTCACTTATTAATTGATGATATGCTCAGGTTGCTGAGCATTGCATGCATCTTTGCTCTTATGGTGGTAGTTCTTGTAGGCACCTGATATTTTGGCTTTCTGATCTGATGTCCCTAACTGAACCTGAAGAAATCAGTTTTTCAAGGATTGGACTGTGGTCATTTCTGAAATTATGTATATTTAGTGGAAGAACAATCAAAATATTTCACCCAATATTTATTTAGAGTTGGCAGAAAAAAACACAGGAAATAAATACTGTCAAATCCGTCCTTATCGTTTCAGCATCCAGAGCTCTGGTGACCGGGCAGCCCTTTCTGTGGGGAATACGGGCTTGGTTTCCTACCYGGAAAGCTGAGCAGGAATGGGATCCCGTGACAAAAGCACAGCAGCCCAGCTATAAAATATACCGCCACAAGAGAAATTTTCAAAGGTAGTGAACATGGGAAGATGGGTTAACATGATTAGGCTACACRTAATTAAATAATAAATATTTTATATATATATGTTATATGTATAATATATATGATTATATAATTATATATATTTATGTATTTATACATTTATTTTATATTATATAATTATATATTAAATAATTATGCAATATACTATATAATATAATAATATAATGATATTTTCAAGCTGGTGTTATTGGTAAAGTACAGATCAAAATTCTTTTTCTTAAATACAACAAAAGACTGGAATATTGCACAGGTAAAACTGGATATCCTAAAAAAAAAAAAAAAGAGAGAGAAATCCAATGGATTTGCATTTAAAGACATAGTTCAAATTAAGGTGCATTAAGATGAAGTCATCAGATGGTCACAAGAGAAAGAGTAAGATCTTTGTAAAACACACGAGGTCAGCAGATACCTCCTCATGAAAAAAGCAAATCTAGCCCYGAGAAGCATCCGCCCCATTAGTGTTAATGACACTGTAAGCCCCAATTAGTCATTGYCTGGGCATCCCTTTTAATGGGAAATGAACATAAACTAGAATTGATGTAAAGGTGGGCAAGTGTCTGAACCAGTTAACTTTTATATGGAGACTAAAGTTCATCTGTCTAATGCAGAAAAAGCAGGAGGGTGGATTTGATGGGTTGGTTTATACAAATAACTRTGCATGCTAAGTAGATATCACATAAAAAACTACTTAAACTAGGGTATCAAAAATGCACATGTATTTCCTATCTTTAGAGGTAARTGTCAGCGTAAAGGCTGGCAAAATAAAATGTCCATACTCTATCTAAGATCTCTTAATATTGCACAAGACTGTGAAAAGAAAACAGTGCTTTGTCTTAAGTTAATTATATTTTCCTGTGAGTTAAGAAATACGATTATTAGACTTATTTGAAGTTGCTTGTGCAATTTAGTGACATGTTAAGATTCACTTTCAGGGAGGTTGTGAGGACGGGGTGATGTTGGAGCGTGCTCCTCTCATCTCCAAATTTCCATTTTTCCCTTCAAGGGCACAGCTGAAATGATCGGCTTTCTCCGTTTCAGACATCCATCACAGTTCTCCAGGTGTTCTCTGTTCATAATACATACCTGATGTTGCTGGGTAAGTGAATGGTTAAGTCTAGGTGAATTCTTAAGTACCTTTCAATAACTAATGGAAATTCCAACAGTTTTTCWTTTTTTTCATCATTCCCCCATGCCCTTTTTTTCTTTTTTCTTCCCTCTGAAATGTCTCATTTTCAAGCAATCTGTTAGCAATAAGAGTATTCATTAGAGTGMTTCTAGACACTGTCCCGTCCTCATTTGCTGTTTTGTGTCTAAATTAAGCAGAATTATTATTTTTGCATAACTCTTGTACTCCATAGTAGAAAATACCCATCTAAAGGAGCTGAAAAAAATGATTCACAGCTGTTCCAGTGTGCACAGTTTATTCCAAACTGCTGGAGATACCTAGGGTATCATCAGCATGAGGAACCATCTCTCASATCTTTTCCTTTTTCTCCTGTATCGCAACCAGGGAATATCTGCATGTGCTTTTAAGCAGGTTCTGTGTGACCATGTGCCTTGCTTGGACTCAGAGAGGCCTTCACTGACAGAATAGCTTTGTATGTGCAAAGAACTTTTTTTTTTCCCTATTTTCCGTACTGCAGCGTCCTGGCACTCTCCCAATGCATTCATTTCCAAGTGAAATTGTGGCCAAACAGGCAAACATTAACGTGTTATCAGAATTATTGCTGTGATGTCCATCAGACAGCAACTGTATAGCCTCAAGCTCCATACTTTTATATTTAAAAGTATTTGTTATTGGTTTTGAGAAGACGAAGGCTTTAATGAACAGACAGAGACCATCTATGTTTTCCATACGAAAATATTTTTTGATCTAGCCCTGGAAGCCCCTAAGGAGAATTAGTGACTGCTGAATAAACCAGCCTGCCAAGTTGGACGGGAAGATTTTGATCAAGTCTGTTCTTTTCAGTAGACAATAATATCTTTAGAAATGGTCTTGATACTTTTGCTATCTTATTTCYGCCAAGATTTTGTGTATATCAGACATTTTAAACTGTAAAGCTGTCTACCCATCAGTATTTTCAGATTTGATGTTAAAATGTGCTTAAGATCTCTTTACTTYGGGGGTATATCCTTGTTCACAAAGTGCTGCATATAGTGGCAATCTGTCTTGCACATGAGAGAGAGCAGAGAATTTATGTAGGCCATTAACTTCAGAGGAGGGGAAGCAAGGCTTGTTTTTTTTTTTCTTTTTTTTGTGATGTACTTATAAGTGTGCGTGTTATTGTTTGGATTGTTTTGGATTTTTTCTTTTTTTTTTTTTTCTTTTGAGTCTCTATTTCACCGATGTTGTTTGTGTTTCATTTCTTTCTTGGTTTCGTTTTTTCTCCTCCTTAGGGCAGAGCTCGTGGCACGGATGGGCTGTGGGACCTGGGAACTCTGGACATGTTCTTCCCCGGGAGCCCTTTGGYAAATGGTAAAACCCTTTACCCTGCTGACTGGCACAGCCCAACCTTTATTCTGTAGCTCAGTGCTAAGAGACTTGTATATCCAGATATTCAGTGCTAAGAGACAGGGTACCTTAGGTTCAAATCCTTCTGATAACTAAATGAGGAAGAGATACACAGGGAAAGGTGAGGCCATGAGGAGACTTTGGCCCATGTGGCTGCTGCCTCCAGTTCACCTTCATGCCCTGAGTTTGCCTGTTTCTCCAGGTTGTTACCTGCTGTTACGCTGGTCCACCCCGTGATTAAAGTGGACGTTTGGTGTTTCCCTGTGTTGCGTGGCCGGGTGCCTGGCTGTAACCGAGGTGAAGCCACTGTGACTGTGCCATTGGTGACCTGTGTCTTTCCAGCAAAGAGCCGGAATCAGGAGCTGGCCCTCCAGTTTTATGCGCTTAAGCATAAGTAGAAGTATATTCAAATAGAAAAATGGAAGCATGTTGGAGGATCAGAGTAAGATATATGGTATGAAATTAATCAAAAATGTTCTAGTGTTGCTGTTCATATGGATACAAAGAGTGTCTTGTATGGTAGTATAAAATCTAGTTTTGTAGTTGCTGTCTGTTTGGTAAGTGTGCACTAAGCATTCATAAAGCTTTTCATTTTTGGTGCAAGTAATCGCCTGAATTCTTGTGTATATGTTATTTGTTTGTTTCGTTGTTAGTTTGTTTTGTTTTGTTTTCCCAATGGCCTCTTTTTCTTGTCATGAAGCTAATATTTTAAAATGAAAACAACATGATGGAGCCATGTGGCCAAGAGTCTCCTTTGTTCAAGTTACATTTTTGTGCTGAGTTGAATGCATTTTGCTGACACAGCTTGTAATGACATGGAGGACAAGCACCCCAAGGTGGTTTTATTTTGTTTTGTTTTCTTTTACTTCRTAGTTTCCTTCTTACCTGCTCAATGATCTGCAGAGCTAGGCATAAGCTAAAGAGAGAAGGGATGAGTGAGACCAGGTTTTAAGTGAGGAAATGTTTGAGGTGGTATGGAAAGGGTTTCTGTCAATGCTAGATGATGAAGAGAAAAGAAAGTGTCAGGGACAAAACTGAGCAGTGGCACAACCATAAATGACACCAAGAGGGGTCGCATGGAGGGGTCCCTGTTGAGCAGTAGTGCAATTTATTCTTTGAAATCAGGAAGAAACTTAAAATGAGGAAAATTTTAGGGAGGTGGATAGTTCCTGCATATAAATGCTGCTTTCTGGGAGGATACTAAGTCAAAATTGTTTGGATTCCTAGAATTTTCAATATTTAAGAAAATATAATAAGGGCTTGTGTGTGTGTGTGTGTGTGTGTGTGTGTTTTAGTTAAAGTTTTTTCTCATCCTAACGCTAAGGGCAAGGGTTGTGCTGAATTCTGGGTACAGAAAACAACATTCCCGCGTGTGGGAATCAAAGTAAGATCCGGGATACATAAAAGCAATGCTTGCAACTGAGGGAGGAGAATGGTGTTGGAATTGCAGGTACCCATCAAAGGAGTCTTTACCCAGGGATGGACTTTGTTAGAAGCATCCTATAAAGATCTAAAGCAGTAGGGAAAGTTCAAGTGGAGCCAGCAGCTGACAAGACAGGCAAATAAATGAGAGCGAGCAAAGTGAGCCGAGGGACAAATCGGTGCAATATCCAAATCACAGAGTTATATTCAAGCTTAAGGCTAGCAACAAAAATAAAAGCTTTGAGGGGAAAAGATGGAGATGTATGGACAGTGATAGAGCCTGGAGATGCTTCATTTCTGGAGGAAAAAAAAAAAAAAAAAGTGGGAATGTTGTAAATAAGATAAGAAGAACCTAGCCAGACCACTTTGAGGAAAGCTGGGCTAATAGCAGGGCTGAAAGGTGTCAGGAAAAGGATCTGAATTGAGGACCTGCAGAAGGAGCATCCAGCTGGTGTGTTAAGCTGAGAACAAACAAACCCACCCCAACAGCTGATGTGCAGCCTCCCCGTTTCCCTATAGCTTCCATCTAGTATAYAGCGTGGAGAGGAATGCATGTATTMAGTTTAGAGATCAGCTGCTCTTAGAGGGCTTGTGCCCAACTGCTTAGGTCATGGAATAGTATTGGAAAATTGCTGTGGGATTCTGCTTCCTCAAAAATGAGGGAGCAAATCAGCTAACCAGCTTTTTTAATGTGSTGAGGTGAAGTGGCCTTTTAGAAGATAAAGCGTTTTCTTCCCTTGCATCATGGCTCTTCATGGTGTCATCATGGCTCTCCTTACCTCATATATTACCTCTCACCTTATCTCATATATTATCTCTGACATGTCTGTATTGAGGAGGATTTGCATTGACAATTGCACACATTTATAAATGCAATCWATTTCAGAATGTTTGAGAGAAATTAAGCAATATATGTTAATAAAAACCAATTGGTTATGTCAGAAAAATTGGATGAAGATTTATTGAATCCCAAACTTCGATATGCCTAGGTTTGTAAGGGAAATTTTTATCAAATGAGAGGCAGTTATAAAACAGAATTCAGCTAATGCTGTTAACTCATCTGTTGTTATTATGAAGATCCTTTGAATTTTTAAAACTATAMACMTTTACTAAAGCGTAGCAATTGCCCAAATGAATTTTTATGTTTTTATGATTATTATCAGGAGTAAGGCAAAGGTACTGAAGTATAAACCTGCAGGAATAACCCTACTGAAGAGGGACTAGGTTGTGAGGTATTTGATCTGTGCCAAGGAGTGTGTTAGTTTTGAAGCAGTTTTATCTCTTGGACTTGGAAAAGGTTCAGGGCAAACAGGATATAGTGGACAAAATCTTTCCTGTTTGTGTGGAAGAAATGGTTATCTGGGCAGGGGATATTGACTCCGTCTGATTAAGTTGGTGGATCAATTACAGACTTCCCGTGTTGCTGCAGCAAGTCACTGAAACGATGCTTTGCTTCGGGTTCTCCTGTGTATAATGCTTCTCGGAGGCATGGCAAAGGTGAAATACACCACTAATTTGTGAGCATTTCTTTATTTATTTTTGCCATGTGTGGGTCACATTATCACATAGATGAGTTGTCAGAAGTTTGATATAATTTTCTAGAAAACAGACTCCTATTGTCAGAATGTAAACACATTCTCTAGCCAATGGATAGATGAAATAATTTGACAGTTGGTATGGAGCTGAGTTGGCATAAATTAAAATTAGTTTGTGTGAACCTTAGAAATGTGTTTGTTTTTATTCAAGAAATATAAATTTCACACTGAATTTAGCATGTGYAATATGTGAACTTTTAATAAACTGAGAATTAGGATATCTGTTCCCATGAGGAATTCACTGGGACATTTCATGGGGGTTAAGGGACCCTCCTTCCCCTTCCTCTCAGTGTGGATGAGCTGAGTTTTAACCTGGTCATTTCAATCCAGAGTTGGACTTAAGTTCCAGTGTGGGAATGTGTGAGCATCAGGATGGGATGGAGGTAAATGGCAAAGTTTTAACGTGACTGAGAATGTTTTAGCTTCAGAGCTTTCTTGGAAAGCATGGAAGTAGCTCAGGACTGGGACCTTTAATAGTGCGGGTTGATGGTGCACCAGGTACGATGCAGCCCTTCAGAGACATCTAGGAAAATATGTTAGCCTTAATTAAAACATTCTGCCTTCGTC